GAGAGCTGCGGGGATGGGGATGGGGCGTCCTGTACATGAAATAAAACGGGAAATCTGGTGTGGGTATGTGCCTGTGCGACGGTGAGGTGGATGATAATGAAGCACTTTGAACTCCCTATAAAAGTTGACTTGAAAGCGATGGCTGGAGTTAAGCGGAGAGCCAGGCCTTCCTTAAAAGAAACAGCAGTAGCCACCAAAATAGCCATAAATAATAATTGTAGCATATATCAGGCGATCCCGATATATTTATATTAGAAAGGATAATGAAGGGAAAGTGAGTGTAAAAAAGTCTCAGTCCTGGTGCTGGTTTCTGTTTGTAAATCCCTTAAGCTCACCACGTAGGACTGTATATAAAGGAGCATGATTTAGGTTTGGGTGGTTGTTTTTTTTTAATGTATATAAATCTTTGGTAGAATCCATGCCCAAAATTATAGATGAAAAATGTATTGCATGGACGCAACCCAGCCGTATAAATTTTTTATTACAAATAGGACTCTGAAACTTGAATAAAATATGTCAGTTTATTATACAATATTTCCACCACCCCCCCCTTTAAAACATGATACGAATGGAAAAATTTAACTGGGGCACTTTCTGCGGTGCTTCTGCAAGGTGCGGGGCCGGCGGTGGAGGCTCAGCATGGGCAGTGCCAGCGCAGCCTCGCTCATCTGGCACCGCCGCTCATTTTTTACCCTCCACGACGCGGGGATCACCTTTGCTGTTTGGAGGATGGATGCGTCTGCACCTGAATTAGCTGCTACAAAGGGAAAAAACAGTCTTGACACCCCTTAATTCAGCTTGCGCAGACCTGTGGTCACTGTAGGACTGGATTCATCTTGCCCTTTCCAGGGCATCGAGAAAGCACCGTTACCCAAAAAAGCGTCCCGTTCCTCCCAATTCAGGTAGCCATGGTTTAGAACTGGGAAGGGCCCTGACACTCCACACGAGTGTTTTTTGGTGGAGGAGTGTGTCAACTCTTTGCTGTCTGTGTCACGGGCCGCAGAATAAAACAGCGTTGTCGGTGTGCTGATGCTGGTCCTGTCCACGGGCCAGGCTTTCCTGGGAAGGTTTTATTCCTCCCAAACAATGCAACGCTCCCTTCCAGCCCCGCTTCCACGCAGCCTCAGCTGCAGCTGCAAAGGAAAATTGCGGATTTTAAAAGTCCCGAGCATCCGTCCTGGAGCCAAAAGTCCCTGAGGTCAGAGCTGCGTCCTGGCTGGAACCACCTCGGTCCCCTTGGGGTAGCGGATGCTTAGGAAACAGATCCAAAGAGGAGCAGAGAATAGGGACGTCGTAGGAAATGCTACTTTGGAAAAACTACGCTGTTTTGTTGTGGGTTTTTTCTCTTTATCCCTTAATCATAGTTGATTCGTGGAAGTAGAAGGGAAAATCGCTTCAATATGCGTTTTATCCCTTTCCCCCGTCATTAGGGTTGATACCAGATCCCCTGGAGCTTCCCTTCCCCAGGAGCCCTGATTCCGGTGTCCGCACTCATGCTAACTCGGAGAGTTCAGGGTTAAAAATTCCAACCACTAACTTTCCTCCAACTAAAAAAGCCCCCAAATAAAACCCATTGTGCTATTCAAGGTTAAGCTTCCTTAAACATAAAACTGGATTCCTTGGTGATTTTTTCATTTTTTTTTTAAATCAGCAATCTTAATAGTGGTTCCTCACTATAATATTTCCAACTCCATCTGAAATCAGTTAAATCCTCCCCTTAATAACATGCACTTTATTGTAATATACAGATTCTTTGGCTTCCTACCAGCCTTAGCTTAAGGCACCAATGAAACTCATTGCCGCAGGGGGCCGTGGATTCAAGAGGGGCTCCCATCTACTGTATATTTTGTTTTGTATGTTTTCCAATGGCTCTAATTATTGCAGGTGGTAGGATTTAACTGGCAGTGTTGTTGCTAAAGAAAATAGGCATAAAGTGTATACTGTTTTGCCGAGTGGCTATCAAATATATAGAAAAGAGAAAATCAAATGAATTGTTAAACCGCTCTATAGTAAGTGATTTTATTGATTTAATGCAAATGCTTATGAAAACGATCTTCCATTTATATCAATTATGTATGGGCAAAAATTAATTTATTCCTCCGGTCACCTGTTTGGCGAACTGACTCAGCAGGACAGACCTTCCCCCTCCCGCCGCAGCCGAGCCCGCAAAAACATGAAACATGCAGAAAACCGGGATTTTAAAGTTTCCATGTGCAAAACAACACAAAAGCCCCGACAGGAGTTCCTGCCAACTGCTGAAAAAGCAGCGAGCGAGTGGTGGAGGCTGAGCAAGGCTCTCTCTTGTCCTAGGCAAGACTGTAAAATACAACGGCTCCGATTTTGCCAATCCCTTCGCCATGTGGCAGCGCATTTATATGTACCAGTTCATCTGCGGCATCTGAATAAAATCAGGGAAGCAAAATTCTGCATATAAACATTTTGGCTAAGTGCCTTAACTCAGGCTTCTTATCTGGGGTTTCCACAAGATGCCACCTTGCATAACAATGCTGCGCGTACGCTTGCCCAGTGCGTGTTTTCGGTAGCCCCCGTTGATCTCTGCCGCCGTGTACGTTGGTTTGAATTTTACCTCAGGTTTTTTTTTTGCCCCGTGCCTGTCCATGAAGAAAAATGCTTTGTGCCTTTGTTGTCTTTTTTCTAGAAATTACTATTTAATTTCATCAGAAAGGGGGGGGGGGGGTGACAGGGAAACAGAATTAGGAAAATTGTTATCACATTCAAGAGAGTAATAAAAGAGGAAAGTTAAGATTCAGTGTGCAAACAAATGTCCAGTAGAGCCTCTCTTGTGTCACTTGCTTTGGTGGTGGAAAAACAGCCCTCCCTAAAAACAAAAGTACTTTTGTTTCCCCGAATCCAGGAGCGGCTCCGGCTCCACGCTGCCCACCGGGGCCTGCAGGGCTGCTCCGGGCTGCCAGGCCGAGGCCCAGCTCCCTCCCAGGCCTCGGCCCTCGCGCCGCTTTGCCCCAGTGTTCCAAAATTTCACCAGGAAAACATGCTCTGAGTCTCCTGTTTCTGCAGTATCTTTTTCAAATATATCATTTTTTTGTTGAATTCTGACCCTGCTTTAAACATAAAGGCCGAGCGCTGATTGAAAGGTGGCTTGCTAGAGGAAAAGCAAAAACCGAAAAAATAAGCAAAAGCCTAATGCCTGCCCTGTACAGTGAAATCCATTGAATGTTGACTTTGAATGTTAACTAAATATTTTACATTCTGAATATTTTACCTTTGTTTCTACCTTTGCGGTATTGGAAACATGAAACTTCTTGCCAAAATCTGGTGTCCGGAATATAACCACACTGTGCATGTTAGCCCGGGTCTCTCTGCTGGCACTGCTTTGAGCTTCAGTCAAAGAGAACTCAGAAGAGCAACATTTAAAACAGAATTGCAAAATTGCTCACTGAGCTTCATTGGAGAAATTATTAAAAATAATAAATAGAAAAGAGAGGAAATGGATTCTGGACACACTGGGAAAGATAACACTTTTTAGGAGAATTTCATTGCTTTTAAATAGAGGTGTCAGGACTGAAGCTTTCTTTGCTGAATATTCTGAGATTTATCAAAATTTGTTTTGTGAGCACTTTTTTTACTTGTAGTTTTTAATTTATACAAGGTTGCCCTCTAAGCTTCTGAATGCATACAGTCAGCAGGTAAAAAAAAAAATTTGAATATTTAAAATAGGCGTTTTCTTTATAGTGCTCTGCGGTAATTAAAATCTTCATTTGCTTAAAAGCAAGGAACCTTTTTAAAGCAATAAATTACCATTGCTTGACCCAAGGTCAGTAGTAGTACTGCTTCTTCCAGCACTATTAATACCTCAAAGAAAAAGAAGGGGTGGTGTTATCACTCGGTTGCAATAGATGTAAGATTTTCAATTTAATCACAGTTAAGTGTCGTGACCTTTTGATCTTGCATTGACTTCGCACTGAAATGTGGTCAAATTTCAGACAGCTAATTCTGAACCCTGCTAAGTCAAGGTGCAGTCAGAAAACAGGTTGGCCACGATTGGGGATGGTTTTGGTGCAGTCGCAAGTGGTTTCATTTTCAAAGTTTTGTTTCACAGCAAAAACTTTTTTGATGGGATCAGTAAATTGCAGAACAATTTCGGGCAGAGGGGATATCTTTCTCTATTTGTACTAATTGCAAAGCCTGTAATTTGTGGGATTTTTTTAAGAATATATTTTCACACGGGTCGATTTTTTCTGAAATTCACAGGGATAGAAATAATTAAGAGGGAAAATAGTATTCGACTAAAGCTTCTAGTAAGAATAATTTTTGAACCAAAGAGCGATCATCTTCACATAAAGTAGAGTTAATAAAGTGTAAAAAATGCAAACTGCTCATATTTACACATATCCTTTTCTAAGTCGTTTTATTATTTTAGGCAAATGAATTGTGTTCGATGGAGAGCGTTAGCTGGGACTTTGGAGGGAAGTTCTCGAGCAGCTCATCCAGTGTCTGCTCTCATTTGTTTCAGTGGTCTCGTAGTACGGTAACCGCTGCGAAAGCATGACAGAAATCAGCTCCTTTATCAGTTTTGCAGATTTTTGTTCCAGAAATGTGTAGACAACGACCTCCACGACTTTGTGGGGTTGCTTAGTTACCTTTCTGTCCCTGCTCGAAAATATGTTTTGAGACTTTACTATGTGTTGGATTAAGGCTCTGGTTTGTATACAACATAGAGGCTGCATTATAAAAACCATGTAGGAGAGTAGTTTAAATATGCCTTCTCTAACAAGAAGGATTCTCAGAGCTTAATTTATGCTCACGCACACCCCAAGCACTCTGTGGAGTGCCGTCAACAAAATTCCCCTATTTTTTTCTAGCAAAAATCTTACCTAAGCACGGGACTTTTGCATTATCATGTCCTAGTGCCACACTCCTGTCCTTAGTTTGTGCTCTCAGCCTTTGGAGGAAGTCTGGCGCCTCTGATCTATTTTCCACAGCAGACCCTGTAATTTTTGGCTGTATTTTATGTTTTTCAGATTCAAGTCAATCTGAAAGTCCCAGCCAGCCAAGTGAAGCTGATATTAAGGACCAGCCAGAAAATGGTAAGTTCTTACCTGCTGCTCCTGCTTTGGGATGTTAAAACAGCCCATATTTATAAACATTTTTTTCCCTGTGTCGAATACAAAAAGATTATTCAGAATAATTGGCACGTGATAGCTACAGTTAGGTTATGTACTCTCCTAATAGTTTAAATGCTGCTGTTTCACAAATCTAAAGTAGCATTTGTTTCTCCAGTGCTGGAGAGAGACCTTTCTTTTTTTCCCCCCTTTCAAAATAATTTTAATTAGGGAGATGCCATGAAGAGCCTGCTGTATGCAAGCCTTATCCTTATTCCTCCGTAGCAAAGCTTCCTGTCCCTGGGCCGTGAGTCATGACCCTCCAGGGGTGTGTGCTTCACCGCTTGCATTTTATCTCTGTTCTTTTACCTGCATTTGCTTTAGCGATGCTCTCACACGACCCAGTGAAGTACCTGACTTTCGGTATGCGGCCAGCCATCCTTTTAGGGACCAGGATCTCAGATAGTCCTGCGAAACACAAAATGATTGCTTTGAAAGACGCTTCTGCAGACCCATCCTCTACCGCCCAAATCTGCTCAACCAAAATGGAGCGCCAGCGCTCCCAAAAATTGGAGTTTCAAGGCAGGACTGTGCACCTATAGACACCTATACTGGCGTTGTCTGTTGTATTTTGTTGGTGGTGTGCTTTAAAGGTTGTAGGTGCTATGGGTAAGCAGGGCGGGGAGGCTCTACTGCAGCTTGTTGCTCCTTCTCTCTGTATTCAGAATATCGTGGTGTAGGATGGCAGCAGCTCAGGCTTATTCGGAAGTGGCAGCAGGGCTGTGAATGTTGGCAATACCGAGATTCTGTGGACTGGGACAGTTTCAAAGTAGAAGCCATGGCTTCTGCTGCATCAATGGCTTGCATTGAATAAAGCAGCCTGGAAAAAAACACTTGATAATAGGGAATTTCTGTAGGGACTGTGCGTGAAAGGATGTATATATATATGTGTGTGTGTGTGTGTATGTGTGTGTGTGTGTATGTGTGTATATATATCTATGTACAGCTTCTCTTCCTGTTTAAGTGAAGTAGAGCTCAACGATTTTTGTTGGCCCATTGGTAACTGAGTTTTGTTTTACTACTTGTATTTAGGACTGAACAATAGTGTCTCCCATAGTGAAAGGGATTATTATTAAGAGTTTTTCTTGACTTTTCTTTTATCTATAACCAGGAGTTTTTTAAAAGACCTAAATGTAGATGGGGATCTGCTGTACAGGGCACTACTGTGCATACACAGGAAAGAAGAATTTGTGTGAAGGGTTTATGTCTAAAACCTGTCACCATTTTTGGGACATCTAAATCCATCTCATGTAGAAATGTTGTATCTATGATAATACACCTGTGGTTGCCCTTTCACTGCTTGTGCCTCAAATCCCTGCAGCTTTGCATGTGTTCAGTTTGAGTTTTAGGGACTTTATTAGCAACTGAACAAGTTGGAGTGAGGAAGAATGGCTGCATCCAGATCTGGATTGCATTTGGATCAGGGTTTAAATGGCAGATAAAATTAAGGGAAAAAGAAGAGGTTTAGGTACATAAAAACTTGAAAATATGAGCTGATGTTGCAGGACACAGAACATAGGGCTTATTCTGCCGGTAAGATTTTGGCTATTGGGGCTCTTGTAGTTTCCTCCCACTGAAATATGAAAAGGTTTCATATTTTGATAGATTTTGTGCTGCTCGTCTCTAAACATTCCGTCTTAAAACGTTTCTGTTGTTTCTGAAAGGCAGTGCCTAATTTCCCTTATCAATCCTGTTCACAGAAATTCTAATTTGTAGCCAAAGGATTGCGAGGTTAAGAGAAGAACTGACTAAACTGTGATTTTTGTTCTGCCAATTCTGCTATTTTTTTTTTGGTGGGGAATATGTTGCCTATGCTTATTAAATCATATTTTAATTTAGAATGTATTAGGCACCAGGCATGTTATTATTTCGTGTTTAGATAATATTCTTTCACAGCTATTAAACCTGCAGTTTCTCAGGCTGAAGAAAGCCTGGTACTCAACGACCGCCCTAAAAAGCAGCAATGCCAGTGTTTAATAATGTAAAATCTGTAAGAGCCGAGTGAAATGAAACCTCTCCGATTTGGAGCCTGAGTAGAACAAGCTTTTAGTGAATGCTGGAAACTTTGCTGGCGACCTGCAAAAGGTACTTTTTTTCTTTTAATAAAAGGATTTTTTCTTATTTTCTCAGTTTTAGTAAAGGGTTTTCCCCCCCCCTACCGCAGCAGAAGCCTCCCAAGCGCTTCTGTGCCCTTTGCAGCCCCTGTGGGGGAGCTTTGCTGTATGCACCCCCCATGGCAATTTGGCGGCCCTGAAGAGGCTGCTCCCCCCAACCACGCAGCCCCCGGCCCGCAGTGCAGATGAGTGCAGATCCGCAGCCCTTATCTCCTGGCCGGGAGGATGAAAGCAGAACTGCAGGCTTGAGAGGATGACAGACTGCATGCACAGGAACGGACACCATCAATCACATTAACGGCCTGGTGCTACCTTTGCTCCAGACCCACTTCCACGGGGCCGGATCCGAATCCCGATGGGAGCCTCCTAAGTGATTTTACTGAGAGTGGGAATGAGCCCACACAGAGAGGAATTTCATTTTATTTTGAAATCAAAGAGTATTGTGAATAATCTTATTCCCCCTGGCACTAGCAGCAGAGCGGCCAGATCGAGGGCAGGTTTGGAAGCGTTTTGCATGCGTTTCTGGAAGGCACAAAGAGGCGTATCGATTAAGTACTACCTTTTACATGCATGCATTCCTTCATTTTAAAAAAATAAATCTTTAAAGGCCTTGTGAGGGTTATACAGCCTCTCTACTTGCCTGTTAATATCCTTTCTGTTCCACTCCATAAATTGTGGAGCTATTTATTATACACATATATTTTGCATACCTTGAGTAATGTAGGTTCAAAAGGGTCAACTATACAGCCCTGAAAAAGAAGGCCTCCTACTGCAGATTTTAATTTATCATTTTAAATTGTTTGTGGTATTTTGGAAAGCCTGTACGTCTAACCTTCGTTAAAGTGAAGTTCATGGGGGAAAAAAAAAGCTTTTCTTTCTTAGAGCCACTCCTTTTTTCTCGTAGGCTTTACAGTTGCATTTTCTGGAGCAGAATCAGAGACGATGGTGACATCTTCTGCTCGTGGTGGTGGCTTTAACCCCAACTCAGCCTTCACTAAGTCAGAGGAGTTTTCAGGCAGTCACCTGGTCACTACTGTGAAAATTGAGAGAAATATTAAGGATTTTATTGTTTTCTAGAGATATCCAGCATGGCGGTCATGAAAAGCAGATGTGCGGGTGAGACAGGTTATGCACACATGGTCCAAGGTCCAGATATCTTCTCCTGGACCCAAGGGGACGCCGACATGCAACCCCACAGTGTGCACGGTGCTTGTGCAGCTCCCTTTGCGTGGGAAAGAGCTTTTTGGGGAGGCAAAACCCCCAGATTTTGTCTGTTTGTGATGTGGATAAGGAAATTTGTAGGAGGGATGATGAAAGGGAGCAGCAGCTTCATTGGAAAGGCAGAAGCATGTTCCGATGTCCTGATATTTTGCTCAAATGAGGGGGGTTTTTTTCTGCCCGGCTGGGTGGAACACCCCGGTGGAAAATTCCCCACTTTTGTAGTTGCCTAATGGTATGTAAAAGCTTCGTTTCAGCTGGCACTGCAAAGCAATTTTGCAATTCACGCAATCAAAAAAAAAAAAAGAAAAAGAAAAAAAGTTATTGATTTTAAAAGCGTGTTAAAGGCGCCGGTGTGGTGGTGTATTTGATAAACAAGCCAGTTTTCAGTGAACTGAGGATGACAAAATGGGCAGCCTGCGTGCCTGGGGATCAGCAACAACTGAATCCCCGGCTCAGCACTGCCGTGGACGCTCTCGGGGCTTTTATTCTCCCTTTCAGTGGTGGAAACGGCTATCGGGTAGATTTTCTTTCTGTCAGCGGGATTACTTTCAACTTGTGTAGGAAAACTTTGTCTGCAGAGTGGGGATGTTTGTGATTGGAGCTTCGTCGAATATTAAAAGTCGCATCTTGGAGGGGTTTAACTGTGGGGAAAGGGAAGGAGGAGGTAACACGAACTGGTGAATAATTGTGGTACAACCATCAGTAAAGGGGTGTCAGGCATCCAGCGGGCGGCGGTTGTGTCGGATGTGGTGGCACTGGCAAATTAATAACGGCAGCGGGAAGGTGCGCACCGAGGGCGCTGTGCAGAGCAGAAGGTGCTGTGTCATTTGGGACGGACCTCTGGTGTCTGTCCAACACGCGCTACTGCTGTTGGATAACTCAAATAACTCACCGCTTTAATTGTCGATCAGCAAATTCTTCTTTAAAGAAGTTGGTAAATGCTCCCATTTCAAGTGAGCAAGGCAGCAGGCACTGTTACAGCTGATGGCAAATGTGTGCCAAACTCATTGCTCAGACAGTTTCTGTAAGGGGAGAGGTATTTATCTAAAAAATAAAAAATGTTTAATGCACAAACCAAATGCTTTTTAGTTTTAATGTATTCTTGCCGCTTTGAGCTGCAAGTACCTTACCAGCACTGCAGGAAATGAAAGGCACATTGTTCTTTGTAACACTAAAAAAAAAAAAAAAAGAAAGAAAAAAGGAAAACAATGATGTACCGTAACTCACAGAACTCGTTTTTCAGCCCTGCAGTAATTACACTGGACTTGTACATATCATCAGCTGTGAATTCTTTGCTTAAGTAGGGCTGGACTCGAGTATTAAACCTGTAAAAAAGTCTTTAAGTGTATGCTTACTTTTCCATGCCCAGAAACATAAAGGAAGAAATTCAGGTCTTCCAGCTGTGGAGGAAAAGAGAAGGCAATGGCGGGAAGGAGACGTTTCCTTTTCTGGAGGCAGGGCTGGCCATGGTGGGCATCACACAGCTTTGGTGAAAGGAAGGAGGGGATTTTGTGCAACCTGGTTAAATGGGAAAGCAGCTTGTGGAGCGACCTGCCTGCCTGCCCCAACGGGCTGGGGTTGCTGGTCCCA